CTCATCTGGTGAGATCGACAAACGAATCTCTTCTTCATGTACTTTCATTCGAAATGAAGGTCCCCTTAAGAATAATACTGGTAAGAATACAATTAAGCAGATATTTGTTATGATACCACCATGAATAGTTGCGCGATGCTGATGCCACGATATAAGAGGAGAGAAAGAAAGATAATAATTTTCAGCCTCGTCAGTAATGTAGGAAAAATCTTATCAGTACCAGTGAATTAGGAATTGAGAAAGTAAATGAAACCATGAGAGTTCTGTCCGTTGAAATGTACGAAACCGTCCTCTCCTGTAAGCTTCATGAATGCGTGCTTAAGTAATGTTTGCCATACAAGAAGCATCATCAGTAAATGAAACCATTCTTTAGAAAAGATTTCCCGGCCTCTAAGACAAACAGAGTGCCCGACTGTTATCTAACCTATTTATGAAGGCCTGACTTTTCTCACTTATTCAGCCTCCCACAAATTTGTTGGGAATTTTATGCTTCCCTTATGCTACTGCTGATAAGTGAAGTGGCCGCGAATGACGTGTGAAGTGGATGTAGCTGTGAACACACAATTGTTTGGTGACACGGCAAAGAAAGTCTACAGAAATTCACAGATCAAATCGATACATTGGGTTAGATTGCTAACTTTTCCTATGGTTGATAAAGGATGCTATGCTACCATTCCCGATATCCCAGTGAAATGAGGAGGAATATGAGAAAAATGTGGAGTTGATTCCTGACTTTTTTCAAATCATACAAGAAGAAGTCAAGTCGGGGTAATGAAATTGATGAAAATACGAATTCAACCAATATCAGAAAAAGGTAAAACTTAGGAAATGTTTTAGATAAAAAGATTTTCAGCCGCCGATTATCTTTTAATTATAGTAAATAGATACAGTAAAGCAGCTATTTTATGCAGGGCTCCCATCTCCATTCCATAATCCTGTCAGCTTTAGCTTAGGGCAGGTGGGCAACTGAAGAGTTGGGACATTCAAAAATATGCTATTTTAGGATCCTCTTTCAAGATCAGGTTGCCTCAGTGATTTCCGCTCCGGTGGTTTTGTCTGTGTGAAGCAGACCTGGTGACTCATGTATAAGAGGCTTCTTGACCTTAAAACCACCCGTAAAACGTATTGCTCGCAACAGCGCGAAATTCCTCTAAGATACAGAATAATAATTCATTCTAGCTTGTTTAACTTGACCGAATAGTATATGATAAACCTGAAAGACAGCAAGAAATCGAGCTTACTGAAATTTCCCAATTGTCTTTTGTACACTACTTCATATCTATTTATGCATGTATGTATAAAATTAATAACAATAAATTTATAAACAAACATATATATATATATATAAATATATATATAGTTTGGTTTCTGCTTAAGCCAATTTACGGATATTTAACACTGACATTTGAAAACGTAATTAAATGTAGGAAAATATATAAATCACTTCTTCGTGCAATTTCTTGAAATGAATATCGTCTTAACCATCATACGCCTGGCCAAGTAGGATATTGCCTTACTTATACATTTCTATTCTGAAACATTTCGTCTGCTGGTGGTGATCCGTTTAAGTCTCCGGTATCGTATTAAGCTCTTTTTGTAATACACGAGGCCTTGTATTTTAGTTCAAAATGCTATCTATTCTGTTAATGAATCTACAGTGCTTTGCATAATCTTGTGTATAGCTGCATTCGTTAATCTTTATTTATTTTATTCTCTCTAGTTTTTTTAATATTTCATAGATTTTTAGCCCTTTGAAATATCGTTTGTTGCAACATCGCCAGCCAGCTAATCCACAACTGGGTGTTTCATATAATGCGTAAGATTAGCTAATTCCTTGTAAAATGTACAGACTAAAGTTAAATATTTCTCTATAAAAATTATTTGAGCGCTTTTGCTGCATTATTTAAAATTATGAATTGTTATCGGATTACAACATTTGCATGCAAAAATATAGCATAACTTATACATTGTTGCAAATTGAAGTCCCTTAATGCCTGAGCAATCATTAAGATGAGCAATACTCTAAACTCACGTGGTTTTAGTAGGCCAGAGAATCTTCTTTTGGCTCAAAATTCATCCAAGAAAGACAGATGAAAGCCAGAGTTGGACAACAAACTAGATTTTTCCTTCAGCTCACATGGATGCTCGAGACCAGGTTATAAAATGTCTGTTGGTTGCGCAGGTTGCTTACAATATATCACAAATAGATGCGAAAAGCGAATCAAGATGAATGGAATAGGTGGAGAGTAGCATTGAAAATTTAATAAATCTGAGCAAAATGCATCATGAAGTGGAAATTTCTCTCCACATCTTCATCAGACAACTCGTCCACTTCACTAGGACTGTTCAGATGCGTGGTTACCTCCCGGTCTTTTTGCCCGTCCGTGCCATTTTCATGCATGCTTGCAAGTTTGCATATCTGTTTGGAAATGTATATGTTCTACATTCAGTCTGTCAGAGTGTTATTTATGCAGTCTAGCAGTTTTTTTTATTTTCCTAACCTTCCGACTGAATATCTGTTTGTGCCACATATGATGGATAACTGTGTTCATGTCTAAAGCACTTTGGCTGTGTGTATGTTCCGTTTCAATTGCTTCCTTCTGAGACAAGATTACATAAGATATCTGAGGTCAAAGAGATGTGCCTCTCTCTGGGATGCAGAATGAAGTCATAAGGCTACACCAAGGAAATGGATAAACCCCCATTCTATAGATAATTTGACTCCACCTCTTGCCTCGGAGGTGAGTATTGTCGAGAAGGAAGATGTGTATGCCCTAAGTGAGCTTTCTGTGAAGCGGTGTGTGTATGTCTCTGTAGATGTGAACTTTCCGGATGCTGGGCATGGTTTCTGTGATGATGCGACTGTTGAGACGAGGTGGTCGTAGCTGATGAGGAGGTGGTCGACCGTTGTCGTGTCAGGCAGGTAAGAAGGTCTACCGGTAGCGGAAAGATGATGGTAGAATTTTTCTCAGCAGATATCGCACTAAGCGTTTGCAGATAGCGTAACTGGAGTGCAAAAGGAGACTGATTAATCACATCGGCTGCCGCCTTAAGAGCGCACGAAGACTTTTGTTCTC